TCAGCCACGGCCAGCCTTGTCGTCTTGCGCAATTCCAACACATGCTTGTGAGCAATGTGGTTTTTTTGCATGGCCTGCAAAAGGGCGGTAAGAAATTTTGAGTAAAACCAAGCAAACAGATGCAAAAAATTAGAAAGCAAAGGAAAAAGTACTCACTAGCACCATCGATTTAGTGGCCGAGCGGATGGCTTTGAGCTCGGTAAGATGGTCATAGTGTTCCATATCAGGTGGCAAACACACACTTTTTGCAAGGTTGAAGGCGCGTGAGTGGTCTTTTTCTGCCACCGCTGAGTTAGTGTTCGCTATGGCTCGGTTCTTGTACGTCAGTTTTGGTGCCCACTCTGAAGAGCTAGCACGGTCAAATTGTGTGGGCTCTAGGCTTGGCAAAGTGATATGTGGGAGCACGGTTTCATCTTTATCGACAAGGTGTTGCGGCTCGGTTGTGGAAGTACGAGCGTGCTTGCTTGGCCGAGATGATGAGGCTTGGGCTGTTGGAAGGGCTACCACGGCCTCATGTGTTTGGCCAGCTTGTGGTATCTCGGTCTGGTCACCTAAGGCTGAAGCCGTTGTTTCGGTGATAAGAGCTTTGACAGCTCTCTTCTTAGCCATCTCTTGCTCTTCTGTTAGTGGGATCAAATTGATTTGAGGTAGTGTTGGATCTGGTTCTAGTGAAGGTTCCAAGAGGAAATCTGTCACCCTGGTCTTCCTCCTGTTGCTGTATCTGTATGTCGGTTCGAAATTGAGTAGCTCGGCCCAACCTTGATCGCGGTACCGCAGCGCGGCGCAGAGTGCGTCTAGATTAGGGTAACTGTACTACGACTTTAGTTGGTTCAAATCTGCATAAAGAAAAAAGCAACGGTTAGCACAGTGCCAAACTTATAAACAGAGTAAAGAAAGCACAAAACTGAGCCGAGGTAATTATACCGGCTACTCGTTTATTCCAATTAATCCGGTCTCCTGGTATTTGGGCTTCCTAATCTTCGAAGTTACCAGAAACCCAGAAAAAGTCGTCGTCGTTTACATCTTTATTTGGAGTGTTTTTTATTATTTTCTCTCGGCGGCATCTTATTCTTAAGTAGTATACCCAGCCGTCTTCGTTCTGGCCAAGGGAGTATTGGTGAAATAGCTCGGCTAAACCGAGGTTAAGGCCAAGCCGGCGATTTAGCTCGGCGATGCCATTTATTATTCTGTAAGAATTGGTGTTGAGTTGGGTTGGGCATATCCTAGTCTGCCTAAGGAATTCACAGAGGAGTGGTTGGACAGGGAATCGGAGTCCGGCTTCTACAATGGAAATGACGGTAAAGGGAACGAAGCCCTGTTTTCCCCATAGAGTTGTGTCTAGCTTGGCTAGTGAAAGGTGGACGTCATCAGGGATGTTGTAGTCCTTGCAGAATTCGGCAATAGCCCCTGGTGAGTTTACTAGGAATCTATATTTGCCCATATGGACTTAAATTATGTATAAATTAGCTCGGTGTTGAGATGATGTTGAGTATCTCGGTTGAGCGTTCAAAGGAGTGCCTGGCCAACCTAAGTCAGTCTGCAAAGTGAAAAGGAAAAGTGTTAAGCCCAAATCGTTGGACCGTGCTAAGTATAAAGGCAAAAATAAATGTAAGCCTAGCTTGGTCATTGGTTGAGCTTTTTAGTTCCGACGTAGTGCAAAGGGTGGTTCCAAGTTTAAGCTCGGTCGATGGGTAAGGCTTCTAATTCGGTCTAAAGCGCGCCTATGGCAGACCAGTTTCTATCATGGTCATGGTACGATTTTGATAAAAAACGTCCTATTTCAGTTTGTTTGCAAATCCAATTCAAAAGGTTCTTGCTCGTTATTGTGAAAACCATTTGAGAGTGTTGTGAAAAAACATATATAAACAATGTTACATGTTGCTAGACTGTACAGATAGAAAGAAAAAGAGGATTAAGCTACTTACGGTTTGAAGACGAGAGTGTGTAGATCAAAAACCGCGAAGATGGTGGTGAGAACGCAGGCTCTGCAAGTGCTATGGTTACAAAGATGGAGGCTCAAACGTACAAGAGAGAGAAGATGAATAGTAAGAGTGGTTGGTTCAAAATATAGGGTTTTCCTATAAGGCAAACAAAATGCGGGACTATTAAAAAATTTCGAAGGCGGCGTTCACAGCTGTGCTCAACCAATAGGGGCCAGCTACGTGTCTATGGAATAGCAAGCGATTCAGATGTACAGCGTGACTGAAGAGACGTTTTTCGACCAAACAAATCGGTAGCCCGGTAACAATTTAGCTCGGTTGAAGATCTGAAGTTTTAGCTCGACTAGTAACAAATAATCCCAATCATGCAACGCAGATGGAATTAAGGGGCAATTGAGAGGGAGTTTTTATGAGCATTAGGGCCGAGCTAAGCCCAGGCGTAGTAATAGGCCGTTCTATGGGCCGTGGTGAAAAGGGCTTAGCAAACGGACCTTAGTGTTAGCTCGGTCCAAGTATGATTAGAGTCACCACGGTCAGAGTGGTGATAATTAGCTCAGTCATGGTATTTAGAGCCGAGGTATTATGGCTTCTTATGGTGGACCTTGCTCTGGTTAGCACGATCAAAACTTGCTGTAGTTAGCTCAGTCTCAACAGATAAAACTGAGGTACAAGTGAACAAGAGCCGAGCTATGAGTTGCATGTGAAGGCGCTGCATTAAGTATGAAAGTTCTTGTGTTAGCTTGGTCATACTCTCATCCAACCGAAACAAAACCATCTCACTTGGTTTAAACAGTGAGGGGGGTGTTGAAGGATAAACATTATCTTTCAGGAGTGTGATTCCTAAGAGGACTCTACGTTGAGGAATAAGAGTCCTACTAGGATTGTGCCAGGCAAAAACTATAAAAGCTCACAACATAACCCATGTAGAGGTAACGCAACTTTGATTCTTGAATATACAGAGCTTTTGTCTATTTGTCTATTTTGCTGACTTAGTCATCAGAGAGGTATCCGGCACACACCGACCGGCTAGCTCACGTTTGTGTTTTCAGGGAGTAAAGCGACGACGACGTTTGGAGGAGTGCAAACTTAATCAACAAGATCATACGAGAAGGTTATTTCGTGCTCGTACAATTATCGTTTAGCTGAATCAAATTTTATTTGGGTAAATTATAAACTTTTTTAAAGTTTAAAATATATATAATAAATTTTATGATTTTGAAATAATTATATTTAATTCATTTAAAATTTTAATTTATGTAACACTTTGTCCCATTTTTTTTAATAATTTGTTAATTATATGAAAAAAAATAGAATATTGTCATATCTTTTATACAAAAATATATATTTTATGTTAGAGGTATTTGTGGATCGGGTTAGCTCGAGTGGCCTTTTATCCGTTATCCATTCGAACTTAGGTGGATTGAAAAAAATCAATTTGCATCCGTCCGTTATCCATCCGAACTTAGGCAAAAAATCAATTCACATTCGTCCTCTTAGTTATCGGATGCTAGCTGTGTGAGTTGGTAGGTAGATATAGATTAATTTGGCAGTTTGGGCTTTACTATTTTGAGCTTTTTTTCAAACAAATTTTCAGTAATTATTTATTATTTTGTTCCAAAATTTTTTATTTTTTATAATAAAAATAAAAGCTCAACTTTCATATTTCATAAATAGTAAATTTAATTACTATTTTTTTTTTTAAGCACACAACATAAAAGCATAATATCATTTTCATAGGTGTGTTGACTTTGCACCCCTCAAACTATTGTACACGTGTCTTTACCTAGGAAAGTCATCGGGTTGTGAACGAGATAATTTTTGTAATTTTAAGAATCATCATGTTAATAAAAATAAGATATAATAAGTGATGTGAATTCAAATATATAAAATGGGAAATAAAAGAATTTAAAACAAGTATTACCGATAATATTTTAGTGTTTTAGTCTTATTATATTTATATTTAATAAGTATGAATTAAGTGAGGGTTGGATAAAACAATGTGAAGAGAGGAAAAACCTATCCCCACCCCATTTCCGCAAATTGGAAGGAGAAAATTCCTGCGAGTGTGGGCGCGAGTAGACCTAAATTGTCATCTCAACCTTTACTCCTTACCATTTGAACAATTATTCTTTTTAAACTGCTAACATTAGTTAATTTTACTCAAATTTGTTAATAAGGTTAATATTCTTTTACGAAATATCATTCATGTCGACACACATGAATCACTTTGTCTCATAAAATATCCCTATATCCATGCAAAAAAGTACAATAATTATTTAAAAAATCTATACAATAAAATAGGAGAGTTTTTGAATCTTCTACATCTTTTGTTAGACTAGGATATTTGGATGGCTCAGATCTGTTTAAATTACAAAACAATGACTGAGATGTATTTTTTAAAATATATTCTACATGTACATTTTTACTCTCCTGCTCCTCTCTTACCTTTTTCTTTTATCACCCACCCTCTCATGATCCCATGATTCCACATTCCTCATTTTCTTTATATTCTTTATTATTTCCTCCCCCTCCTTTTTTTTATGGGCATTTGGGTGATAAATCTAATTTTGAATTTTTCTTGTTCAAAAGTTCAGGCGCTACTTTCTTATGTCCATAAGGACAAGCCTTTGCGAAATGATGAAAATATCCCTGCATGTATATGGTTCCCCAATCAAACACTAAGTCCCCAAATCGTTTTCCTCTCTCTCTCTCTCTCTCTCTCTCCTCTCTTCTCCTCCCCCTCACTGCCTCTGCCACCACCTCCTCGTCGAACTCAACTGCTCCTCGTTCCATCATTGTCTTCATCTTCCTTTGCACTACGTTGCTCTGACAGTGGAGCATTGCACTAGAGTGGACCACCGCGTCGAGGCAACCTCTGTTGTCCCTCGCATCCGTCATCCCTCGCCGCTGTCTCCTTAGATTTACATACCCTAGACCACTGTAATTCCCACTTTTTATTTCACGGATAACATTACCAAAAGTCATTATTATAATACAATTTCAGAGATAACGAACAAAAATTCTAATACATTAATAAAGATAAATAAATGAAGATTCTCTCATTCGTATATGTAATTAATGCAACATATAACATAATTAAATAAATTGCCTGGAGGCTTACATCATTACATAAAAGAGAAATGGTTCAACCCGTTTACAATAACGGCATTCCGCTAACAGATATAAGGCCCCGTGGCCAACAAATAAAGAAGATCTTGGATTTTGAAACACTTCTCGTTGTTCACCTGAAAAAAGATTAGCAATGTGGGTTGAATATAAAGTCCAGTAGGGATTTCAACATGATCCTAAACAATAACAACTTACAGATAGCTATGATCATGAATGCTCAAACTCATAATATATAAATAATGTGACAGTACGTACTAAAGTATATCTATCTACATAAGTATTTTTCCCAAAATCATCCAATTCGTTAAACAATGCAGATAGTTCACATTTCCTTCTTGTATTCCATATCAACAATATCACATAACAACCATTTTATTTTTGAAATATACTAACAAAAGTTTTGATTTCTCACTTTTACTTACAAACTCAATACGTAACCTACATCCATTTCTAGCATGTTCATTACATTTTCCGGGCCTTAAGTCCAAAGTTAAACGATACTTTCAACAATTTATTTTGATACGCTTACATGTATACATAACATCCAATACGAAAAATGAAAACAACTAGCACCCAACTGCTACTTACTCAGCATATAAGACAACTCAGTCTTCCTGAGCTATAACCATCATAACACATGATCTACACAGATACACTAGGACAATAATGGTAAACAAAACTCTGCTCTACCTGTCTTAAGCACGGTAAGTTAAGGATACACCTTTCCATAACACAAGCCCATTTACCAGTCACCAGCTGGAAAGGAATGAGACCTCTGCCAATTTACCAGACACCCGTTGGAAGGTAATGGTACCTCTGCTAAGTTCTTCAGGCACTAGCTGGAAAGTACGAGCACCTCTCATTCTAAGTACAACCAATTCTCCATGCCATAACTGGAAGGTAATGATATCTATTATTCTCAGCGCGTGCATATGACCAACCATCACAATATGCACACGCATGAATAATACGAATGTACTACATACATATAAACTATTCAACATCACAATGTCATCCTCCACTGACGACCAAAGACAAAACCTCTAAGCATATGTATTGAATACACGTCATACAATAATCTAATTCTCATGAGACTTTAAGTCCAACAATAACAATAATAATATTTAAAGGTTTCAAATCCAACCTCAAGTTCATTCTTACTTTACGAAGGTTTATAATTTCATTTTCTTTTCAAGACCTATTTCCTTATTTTCCAAATCACAATACTTCAATCGTTTTCTAAAAGCCAATTTTCTACATTTCGTTAAAACCACATCCATGATGTCAAAGCCACAACCCAACTCCACTCAACATAATCAATCCCAATTAGTACCAATTTCATTAACATAATTACAGAAGGCATATCAAACAAAACATAACCAAATTCAACTTTACCCCTTTCAATTTATTAAGGTAATAATATTAAATTAGGGCCTTTTCCCTTTCTCAACATAAATATGTAAAACTACTCCCTAATTAATCAAAATAACTATCAATTTAACAATTAAAACCCCTAAATATCAAACCCTTGATCCCTCTTTCATGCTTTTCAAAAATTCATAATAAATATGGTTTTTAGGCAACAAAACTACCACATATCTATCTATAGACGAAATATTGAAAAGAAGCACAAAGAAGACGACCCAAAAATCACTGACGACGAAACAACGATCTGCCCAGATTAAAAGAATGCCCTCACTGAGCTCTACGTTTCTATCTAAAGAACTATGGGTCACAGATGAGTAGAAGTAGATAAAATCAAGGGATGAAGAGCTTGGAGGCTCACAAACGGCGGAAGGATAGAGAAGGAAGAGAGAAAAAATGATCCAGATGTGACCAAAACTAACTTTTATAGATATTGAATTCGAACAGACCGCTCAAGCGACCAAAACACCGCTCGACTGAACAGACACAAAAAGTGGCACCGCTCGAGCGACTAAAACCACTGCTCGAGCGCACAATGACCCCCTCTAAGTACTTTTATAGATTGTAGAAGATCGCTCGAGTGCAAGAAGTATCACTCGATCGTAGATATCGCATTTCCAGTAGTTTTGCAAACTGTAAAGGCCGCTCGAGCGCAAGAAAGACCGCTTGAGCGAACAGATAAAAATTCGGCATTAACTTATTGAAAACTAACTTCCCAACCTGTTCCAAAAGCACCAAAACTCCCAATAGCCAAACTCAACAAGCAATAAAATGAAAATGAGATGAACAACAGTTAAGTACATGGATTCTCGGATCCAAAATCATGAAAATAAACAAGAATTGTTATAGCCACTACCGTCTCTGCCACCGCTTTCCTCTTCTCCCTGACTCCGATGTTGCCTCCTCTACGACGATGTCCTCCATCTCCCTCTTCTTCCCTATCACTAACATGAACCCTAAAGTCACTCCCCATCTTTTCTCTGAAGATTGGTGCACTAGAGCTCCATCGTCGCTGGCTTTGATATCTAGATCTATTACCACCATTGTAACATCCAAAATTATCGTCGCCGTTTTCGCGCTCTTCCTCAGATATGAAAGGCATCGACACACACAGATCTCATTTCTCTTTGACTCTCTTTCTCTTTACAACTTTGTCTTTCTCTCTCTCTCTTTTTTCGTTCCATCAGAGATCGAAAAAGGTCTATATATCTACTCCGATATCGGCAAGCGCACCAGAGGTCTCTGAACATTAGAAACATGTAGTGAGGATTTCATTGTAGATTGTGAACACTACAAACGTGTGGTACTAAGTCATATCTTATTGGGATGAGGATTAGTTGGTTTACTGTGAGGAATGTCATCGACATGAAAACTATCTATGGAGGGAAAGCAAAATAATTTTTGTGCCCACTATGAATTAATCTTTATTATATGTTAGTTTCATTTAATTTCTTCTATGTTTTTTTATGATATAAATTATTATGGTTGCAGATTTGCTGCTGCTCTAAAAGACATGAACGTCTGGGTCATGAATGTAGTCCCATTAGACTCTCCAGATACACTAATAATAGACTTTTTTTTGTTTGTTTGTTGTTGTTGAACATAATTTTGTTATTGTTGTTGTGAATATATAGAATTTTTTTTTGTACAGATAATATTTTTTTTGTTTGTTGTTGCTGAATTTGCACTGATAATTTTTTTTTTTTGGGTTGTCGTTGTTGAATTTGTATAGAATCAAAAACATTGGTCCATATGTTTGGTTTGAGAGATAGAGGAAGAAATAGATATAAAAATTGAACAGATCAAAATTTGAACAGATAAAGATAAAAAAAAAAATTAACTACATAGAATTAAAATTTGAATAGATAAAAAAAAAATTCACATATTTTCAAAAAAAATTAAACAAATAGGTTGAGATAAAAAATGAACAGATAAAAACAATTCACAGATTTTGAACAGATAGAGAGAGAAACCCATATATTTTAAACAAATAGAGAGAGAAATTCACAAATTTTGAATAGATAGATAGAATTTAGGAGAAAAAATTGAATAGATAATAAAATTTGGACAAAAAAAATTAAACAGATAGTCATAAAATTGAATATAAAAGTTGAACAGATAGATATAAATTTGAACAAATAGTCAACAAAAATTAAACAGATAAAAAAATCAACAAATAAATTAAGAAGTAAAATTGGAACAAAATGTCCTCTAAAACTAACAAAAAAACTTCTCACCGAACTATTTACAAATGGTGGACTTCTCACCAATAAAATATGAGTAATGCTAGAAACTTCAAAAGTTTTACCAAAATTTTTACCAAATGTCTTACTTGAGTGTGAGACCCACATAGTATGGGTCACACACCTATGTGAGACATTTGGTAAAAATTTTAATAAAACTTTTGAAATCTATAACATTTTTCATAAAAAAATATCTACTAGATATACACTCTTTACCTTGGACTTTTCAACAATTTACCTTTTTTTTAAAAAAAAAATTTTCCTCCATATTTATTTATTCTTTTTATTTTCTTATTTTTATTCACTTATTTTGATTTACGCCGTGCCTTCAGGTACAGACATACACTAGTATTTAATAAAATAGAAAATATAATAAATTATACACAAATTATTGTCTCCGAATATAATGAAATTAAGCAAATTATATGCACAAATATTTTTATGCGTTGGTAGATGTGATATTTTTATTGAGTTAAAGTGAAGTAATATCAACAACTTAAAGAGTAATTATTCAAATTAATTGTCAAAGAATAAAATAAAATAAATGTAGTAGTTTGAGGCGTCAAAATGAATTTTTCCCCAACTATTTTATTGATCAAATTGTGAAGTCATTCACTTTTAATGATATCTATTATATATTTTGGAAACAATTTGTCATACCATCTTAATTAACATATAATTTACTCACACGTTCTCAAAGGAGAAATTTTTGTTGCACGTCCTGTATCATAAAAAATTTAAAAGAAGCTCACGATTACAAAATAAAACTTAAATGTGAGATAAATGTGTGAGATTTGCTCTTTATTTATTTATTTATTTTTATATTTGTATATTTTTCTGTGAAGTTTTTTAGTACTCCTAGCATGATTAAAAAAATTATGAGATTTTATGGTATTAGTTACAATTATTATAATGTAATTAAGAATTGATGTACTATATATAAGAAGTTTTAGGAGCACTTATTTAATCAAAAAGTGTACTTATTTTGTTATGAATTATGGAGTAGATTGTCTCTATCTGGCTCACACTATAGATTACGGATTCAAGTCTGGCCTCATTTGGGAATAGGTTTTTTAGTAATTTTTTGATTTTTTGGCTAAAATATAATGTAAAAAAAATTAGTATGTTTGAGATGACTTTTTGACTTTTTACGAAAAGATGTGCAAAAAGTAGAGAGAAAATTGAATCTTTGACTTTTTGATATGGGTTGTTGGTTTTTTGATTTTTTAGTGATTTTTTGACTAAAAAAGTCACTTGCCAAACGAGACCTAAGTCTAAACCTGTAAGTCTATCACAAATTTCATTATGATGGTTTGAGTTGTTCAATTTTAGCATAACAATAAATTATTCATGAAAAAAAAAAAAATTTAATGTAATAATCTTAACCAAATGATTTCAACATAATTAATTTTAAAAATGATGATATTTTTCAAAATCATACTTATTGTTTATTTTTTTTTTATTTTGAGACAAATATGATAAAATCATAAATGATTTAAACATGGAAACCTAACAAAAAAATTAATGAAATTACTATGGGTTGTGTAGCCTTAAAGTAACCTAATATAATTATGTTAGAATTGTAAAACTTATTAAATTTTTTTAAAACTTTAAAAAGTTCAATGTAATTTACCCTACATAATATTATATCAACAGACACTAGAAATATCCTATTTAACAATCAACAGCAGAAACCAATGTTTTATAAACCGAACCAGTGAGCAAACCATTAAAGGGATCGGGTGGATGAGTTATCGGTTCAACCGTTGGGTTGAATCAAAATTGAACTGTGACTTCATAATTATTTTATAAATATATAAAAAATTACTTAATAATAATATAAGAATTAAAATACATGTAATTTCATAAATATATTAATTATATAATGTTTGAAAAAAAATGTTATAAAAATATATATAGCAAATATAAATAAAAATTAAAGTTGACACAATGGTTAATTGTTAAATATGTGTTTGTTTAGAATAAAATATAATTAATACAATAAATAATACTCTTTTTACTATATATCAACAAGCAGTTACGATGGCTCAATAGAAATAGGAGTGCCTTTCAACTCAAAGGGGGTTGGGTTTGATTCCCATAAGCTTCCTCTTTCATCACTTATAATTGCACTTTGGAAGGCTCCAGCCCACGCTGATCCGATTCATTCACTTTAACCGCTGGTTTAACCGATTTTCAAGTTAGTTTGAATTTAAAGGTTGATCGAGACTGAAACCTAAATCGGTCGACAGGTCAACCAATCAAACTAGCCGATCTGATTTGTCAGTGATTTGCATATAGAATTCAAACACTAAAAGCTTTAAAAAGTAGTTCAAAGGCCATATGATCTTTTGTCGTTCTTTTACTTTTGATTGAAGGTAAAAATTGCCTAATCAAGTAAAAAATATTGGATAGAAAGTTCACTTAATGGTTTAGAACTTTGGAGATGGATGCAAGTGATGGGTTGTGACACATTAAGCACTTCGAGAATTATTTGTAGCTTTTTATTCGTAGTGCCCTCAAAAGAACTACAGACAAATAAAAAAGATAGTCAGCAACCAGTTCTCAGTTTACACTTGAAAAAGAGTACACAAAGGTGAACTAATCTTTGTATTGGATGAATCATGCACAAGCTATCACTTATTTGAAGCAGAAACTTAATGATAAATACTGATTATGGTCTTATTTTTGTTGTAAATTAAAGGGAGAATTGTAGCATAGTGGGACAAAGAAAAAAATATAAAATTATGCGGGGTACGAGTAAAAAGCTGTAAGAGCAGCCTTCCATATTTATCTCCATATTTGTGTAAAAAAAAAATTTCTGTCCACTGGGAATCAAAAAGTAAAAATAAAAACACACTTTTTTTTTTTTTTTGAAATTTAATTGTTAGTTATTACATTAGCACCTACTAGTCCCAAGGTATTAGTAATCCTAATCCCCTTTCTATAACCCTAAACAAACGGGGCCTATAGGAATTAGTTTTTGTACCCTTGCAAAGCATCAAGTGCTTGCCCCCTTAATTCAACTTTTCCTTACGGACTCTCCTTTATGACTAAATCCTTAGAAGAACCACGGTGGCTAGTTTTTTAAAGACCATTTAATCTATTCCTGTCCAATAAATTGTAGGATAAATTACAAATATACCTCTTAAGATTTGCTTAAAATATGATTTGTCCCTGTGATTCTGAAAATTACATCCCACTTCTTAAAATTTCTAATTTCATAACAATTGACTCTTTTTATTAATAAATAGTCAAGTCAATTAATAATTTTTAATGATATCATAAATTATTGAGAAAATTACAAAAAAAAAAAAAAAAAAGAGCTTAGGGTTTGACCCTTAAAACAAATTAAACCCTATTTTTTCAAGTTAAATCCTAAACTTTTGATTTGTTCATTTGCTTATTTTTATTAAGTAAAATCGTCGGAAAAATGATATTTTAGTCATTGAACTCAATGCAAAAGAGTATTTTATATATTTTATATATACCTACGTTGAGTTTAGTGACTAGAATACTCTTTTTTTCTGTAGGTTTTACTTAACAAAAATATGAGAATTGTTTAGATTGAAAAAAAAATCAAAAATTTGGCCTTTAAATTGACAAAATTGAAAACTCAGGTTTATTTTGTTATAAAATTCAAACCTTGAATTTTTTTTTTTTTTGGTAATTGTCCCAAAATTATTTTAATTAATAATTCAGGTAATTTTATCATTGTATAAAAGAACAGTTAGAAATTTTATTTTTTAATTAATTCTATTAAATAAAAAGTTATAATAAAGAGATATTTTTAATTTTTTAAATTATAAAGAATAATTTATATTTTATGCAAATCTCATGAGATTTGTTTATAATTTATCCTAAATTATAATGAAAGCCAAGAATAGTTGAGTGCAACCTCGAAGTGTTAGCTTAGCGGACACAAGTTTAGATTTGGAGATATGCTATCTTCAGTTCTTAAGTTTTATACTCATTAATTGCAATAAGTTTATTGAAATTAGTCCATAAGACGTTTGTTC